GGGAAAGAGGGAGACGAGGCGTGCAGTCTGCCCGCTGGGTTCCAGGCAGTGGGCCTCTGTCGTAGCAGAGCCGTTCGATTTCAGACTCTTTTTGTTAGTTGATTGAGACTTTTTTGGTTTGTTTGCTTGCTTGCTTTTTCCCTGAGACAGAGGGGCAGGCTTCAGCCGGATCAGGGCAGACACAGTGAGCACAGGGAGACCCCGGGGTGCTGCCAAGGTCCTTCCTATGTGACCTCACACAGAGCGCTGTGCTGCTGTTTTCCGCCTCAGCCGGCTGTTCTCTTCTGTAGACTCATGGGTATTGGAATTTCACCTGCATGAGCCACAGAGGGGCCACAAATGATGCTTTAGCTCTGGGGTGCATCTTAGAGTTACCCCGTGTCCCCCAGTCGGGTGGGGTCAGCTCAGCTCTGCGTCGGGGTGGTGCTGGTCACATCCTGAAGGCCGTCCTGTGGGCGGGTTGGGGGAGTGGCCCATGTGCATTGTCTGTGTCATCCGTCGCTGCCGGGGGGTTTCCGAGGAGGCCTGCAGGAGGAGAGCCCTGCCACATGGGGAGGCAGGCAGCCAGGTCCCGGACTCGAGCCTTTCCTCTCGGACAGTCCGGGCTTTGTCCTCAGAACAGTTCCTGTTATTTTTTAAGAGGTTATTTCCCTAGGGCGCATGTGCTTGCTGGAGAGAAACAGAGACAGTGAGAGGGAAATTGAGAAGTCACCCCCCAGGGGGGCCGGCCATATTGCAATCCCTGCACTGCCTTCTCAGGATCTTGGGCACACACGCACACATGCCTGGCATGAGTTTCAAGCCACTGGGTCTAGGACTTGAACCCCAGTTGGCCATGTGGGAGTCTAGTGACAAAACTGCGCCATCTGCTGGTCCCAGAATAGTTACATTTGACTGTGCATGAACTTTATTAGGGAGCTACTTTGATTGTAGGTATTGCTTTGGGTTTGTTCATTTTTAATTTTTCACTGAGGTAAAATTCACATGATAATACCCTTAGTCTTTTTTTTTTTTTAGTAAGACTTTTGGTATGGGGCGTGTGCACTTGCCAGAGAGAAACAGAGTGGCAGAAAGTGAGAAATCACCCCCCAGACGAATGGCCATACTGCAGTCCCTTCTCCTCTTGAGATTTTGGGCATGCATGCACATGTACCTGGCGTGAGTTTTAAGCTGCCAGGTCTGGGACTTGAACCACGGTTTTCTATGTGTGAGTCCGGTGATGTAGCCCTGACGCCATCTGCTGGTCCCTGCCGTTAGTCATATCAGAGTGTACGAGTCAGTGGCATTCGGTACACTTGCCGTGCCTGTTTCAGAACCTTTTCACACTGAGGGGAGCGCCATGTGCGTTAACAGTCACCCCGTGCTTTCCTCCCGCTGTGTGTTTCCCAGTCTGGAACCGCGCAGTGCGGCCTTGGCGCCTGGCTTCTTGGTCTCAGCATGGCTTTGAACCTCATCCTGGCTGTCGTGCGTGTTAGCGGGACGGTGTTTCGGTTTGTGTGTGCCAGTCTTCACCCGCTGTCCTGTCGGTTCCTTCCATCTTCTGGCCATTCTGAGTAAAGCTGCTAGAAACATCTGTGTGATTCTGGGTGGCGTGTGCTTTCATTTCTCTTAAATGGCTGTATTTAACGGTGAAACCTCAGTGCTTTTCCTTGGTGGCTACCCCGTTTCACATTCCTACCACCGCGTGCGAGGGCTCCTGTTTCTCCATGTTCTATTACAGCTCTTCCTTTCCCTTTTTTTAAAGGTTTTTTTCTCTTTTTCTTTTTTTTTTGTTCCCCTCCCCCCACGGGCACATTTACTCTCCTTAGAGAGACAGTAACGAGGGAAAGTGAGAACTCTCTCCCTGGGGAGGTGAGCACACTGCAGTCTCTTCTCCCTTCTCCTCCTGGGATTTTGGGCACACACACGTACCCAGTGTGATTTTTCAAGGTGCTGGGTCTGGGACTTGAACTGTAGTCGGCCATGTGGGAGTTCAGCAGTTTAACCACTATACCACCTGCTGGCCCCTTCTTTCTGCTTTTTAACAGCCGTCCTAGTGAGTATGAAGCGGTGCCTCGTTATGACTTTCATAAGTGTTTTCTTAGAGACCTGTGTCGGTGAACGCTTTTCATGAGAGTGCTCGGGGGATTTAAGCCTTCCCGTCTCCCTGGAATTTAGATTTAATTGTTGAATTAAAGGGTACATTTATTCCAGGTGCTCAAGGGATTTTATCTTTGTTATGGGCTATTTCTATGTTAGTAGAAATAATCAGTTTTTTGTTTTTGATGTTTAAAGTTTTGCCCTTGGGTGAAAGAGAAGTGAGAATTTGCCCCTCGGGGATGACTATGCCCCTGTTCCTTCCCTTCCATGATCCTTCTGGGATTTGGGTCACACGTGCACACATGTCTGGGGTTATTTTTCAAGCTGCCAGGTCCAGGACTTTAACCACGGTCGACTATGTGGTGGGAGTCAAGCGCCTTAACCACCATGCCGCTGGCCCCTCAAGTTCATTTTTTAAAAAGAATTATTTTACTTAGCTTTATTTATTCATTTTACTTACTTTAATTGTACCAGAGAGGGACAGAGCGAGAGAAAGAGAGAAAAAGTGAGAAAGCAAGCCGTCAGGTCTGGGACTTGAACTGTGGTTGGCCATGTGGGACTCCAGGGCCCTCAACCACTATGCCACTGGTTGGCCCCTCGAGTTAATTTTTATTTATTTTTATTTAGTTAGTTTTTTGGAGAGGTTTTTGCTATAGGGCGCGTGCGCTTGCCAGACAGAGGCAGAGAGACAGAAAGTGAGAAATTCCCCCCGGGGAATGGCCACGCCGCAATCCCTTCTCCTCCATTCTCCTCTCGGGATCTTGGGCATGCACGCCCATGCGCCCGGCGTGAGTTTTAAGCCACCAGGTCCGGGACGCGAACCGCATTCAACTATATGGGAGTCCAGCAACATAGCCATTACACTAACTGC